TTATAGGACATTATGCCCTCATGTCCTATGTAACCATGATCAAGCCAGTAAATTCTGTTGTACAGACCTCTCTATTTTAATATTACAGATATCCTAGGTGGAAAAAACAAAAAACAAAAACAAAAACTATCAGGACTTAAAATGATTGAAAGGAAAAAAATCCCACCTAAATAGTTGGAGGAATAACATCCTAGGTTTTTTGTTTGTTTTTGAGAAAAATGTATTTAAATATCTAATAAAACTACTCCTAGGTGAAAATTTAAGTAATAATGATTTTGTTTTGTTGCTTTTCTTATGATATTTTATTATTCAAATTGCACTTGAATTGGATAGCAATAAAATTCTCAGTAGATCTGGTGGGCAGAGATTGTAGTTCTTTGTGGTTCGGTCATCATGGTTTCATTTTTCCTAGGATTATTTTCAAATGCTAGATGTAAGGAATGACAGAGTGGATATGTTAAAAGATGGAGGGGGTTATTAAGTTATTAATGATGTGTACTTCAGTCAGCGTTTGGTAATAGGGATGGTTTGGGTTACTAGTATTTTACTGTATTTGGAAAATAAAGTTGGTTACCACCATTAATATAAGGGCTGCTCAGAAGGTAATGCCTCCTATTTTATTATGTTGATCCACAACATCAGAGGTGGATGTTGGCAGTGTGGCAGTAGAGGTGGAATACCGGTTATTCTGCTACGTTTTGTTGCCATGTGACAGATGGAAGCAGAGGAACAGTCTGACACCGAAGTGTACATTGAAGCAGTGGTGGGGAATTCAGTTCCACCATGTGGAAAAAATGGCACCCCTTGACATTCATCAATGCTTGCCGGATGTTTATGGAGGCTGAACAGTGGATGTCTAAAGGCTAATGTCAACACAATTACATGTTTTGAGTCTTTTCTACTTTATTCTTCAAATATGTAAGACAAATATTTGAGGTAAGAATAGTATCTTCAATTAGTAAATTCATAAAAGCACATAGTGACATTCTTAGTTATGGGCAAAAAAAAAATTAGATACAGTACACGGGTCTAAGCTAGTCCGCTGTTTGCATTTCTTCTTTTTTCCAAGAAATTTGTCTTTAGCATATACGATTTCTCAAGCTTCAGTGACAAGATGACAAACATATGTATTTCTTAATTATTTGTAAACCATAGTAATGATACGCAGAAAGTATTTAATAAAAAATAATTAAAGAATTACACTCCACCTGTATTATACTACAGTTTGTGAACAAAATGTTCATCTGAGATTCTATTTTAAATTTAGCAACCATATGTACTTATGTGCTTTTTTATTATATTTTAAGTACATTTTTATTATTGCTTTTTTTCAAGTTTTTTTTTCAACCTGTAAGCAACAATCAGATTTAATATTGTGTTATTTCTAAAAATGGAATTTTTAGAAATCTAAATTTTAGAATCTAAAAATTTCTAAAAATAGGTCCAAAAGAAGAAAAAGGTCAATATGAACTGATTATGGAATGATGTATTATACAGTGCAGTACGGTTTCATTACAATAGTATATTTATTATGGATGGTTTAAAGATTTAGTTTCTGGAATACATAAGAAAAGAAAGAAAAATAGAGGAAGTATTGCTATATATTATTCTTACTAAAATAACATGTTTGCTTCACATCTATGTGCTTCCACTAACTTAGTGGAAGAAGAAACTGTGCAGGGCACTCTTACATGACCTGTTCCAAATGAAATTACTTTGTTGCATGTAATTACAGTTTAAGTACAATAAATGCTCTTTTAAATAATATTAATGTATTTATTAATAATTCTCTCTTCTCGTAAAATTACAATAATGCCAGATATCCTTGTTAGCAGGAAGTTTGCAATTATGTTGACAACAATAAAAAAAAATTCTGTAAGGATTCAAGATGTGATATTATCAGTTACAAAATGTCAATATATTCAAGATTGTGATATAAGAAAAAATATTTTTAGGATAAGATCAGGGTCAGTTACAATGTGAATTTTCAGTGTCATGCATACAGGCAATTCATTGCTTCTTCTCAGAGTTCATTTGGGTTCATTAGAGCTCAAAACCAAAGTGGATAGGAAGTACTGAAGGGAAGTGTCTTTGCATGCATGGCAGACTGCTAAGACTTGAGTTTTAGATTTAAATCCATCTAGGCCTTATGGCTGGTAAGAAAACGCTATCCGCCAGACAGATATATAAATAATATAAACTTAAAATGTGTCTTTCATACAAGGAAAAATGTCATGACTTGGAACTGCAAAAACACATCATGGCTCATTCACTTTCATAGAAGCAATGAAATCTGGATATATTTCTAGCTCCATCTCACTACAATGAAAAGAAATTACAATTATTTTTGTTGATCATTTTTATATTGACCATAAATACTTGGAGATGCTGACTTACGTTGCCATGTAAGACAGTAGTCTGCTCACTGTCTTACATACATCACTTTAACCTCTTCTTAGAGAGAACAAAATCTGAATAGAAAAAAATCACTACTGCAGAGTTAAACCACAGTATTCTCTCATTTTTGCAGTTTTTTGAGCACCCTGACTAACGTATCTCAGAATGGCAGTAAGTTCAGAGTAGAAGCAGTGTGAAGAGAGCAGCAGATGTTTCTCATCCATATTAATTTACACTACATTGTAAAGTCTAATACACTTCCCTCCCCCAAAGAAGAACAAGAGATTCGTTTCTTAAAGTTATTGCTATATTTATCAGCTCGTAACATCACCACCATGCACAATTCTGTGATTTAGATATCATACAAATATTTCAAAATATCGATCTGAAAAAAATGCTCTCCATTTTAATTACAGGCCTATTCAATAAAATATATACCTTTGGTATAATATGTTTTATTGCATATAGCAAGCCATTTTCATTATCATCAAAAATATACTTTAGCACTTGTGAATTATAGGGGACTAATTCCTCAGAAAAGTAACAATTTTGAATCACCTCATAAATACATAGACAGGATAGGCATATACATTATCTGTTGTCAATGGCAAGTGAAAAATATTTGAGAATTCTAAATTTACTGATGATTAAGCTAACTGTCTTTATGCTAATTTATTAGAAGCATTGTAAGACATCATTTTCATTGAAAATACACTTTAAATAAGGCAGGTTTGTAAGAATTTGAATAGTGTTTTTTCTTACATGAAGATTTTATTTTCTTATATGCTGGTCATGCCTCCCTCCCTATTCTAAAATCAGTACACGCAAAGCAACAAAACAGAGCAAAGCATCCTCTGAGGATGAAATCACAGTGAAAAAAACTGTGATATAATTTATGTTGTTAATCATGTTGTACCATGCTGTATCACATGATGATACCACAGTAGAAGAGAGCTGGTTATTTACACAGTGGTTCTGACTGGCAAATGTAAACAAAGATGAGTCAAGCACCTCAACAGTGCTTTGACTGGCTAGTTAATCTGCAGGATTTCAATGTTTATTAGTTCCATCTTGACATAAACAAGTGAGAACATGAGGCACCTATGTTTAAGGTAAGAAGCTGGACATTGACAAAATGTCAGTGGGATTTTCAAGTAAATATGAATGTTTTCTCTCTTTAGTTCATTGCTAATATTAAGTCAAATGTACACTAATCTATGATCCATGAAAGAGGAGATGCTGTTAGATTTCTAGATAGCTTAAGGAATTATATAAATATAGAGTGGCTGTTAGTTTCTAAGACATATAAATTGAATAAAATCTCCAGTACAGCAAGTAATTATTCAAATTAATTGCTTAGATAAGTCTACTTTTCACTACAGAAAACTTTTACAAGCTGTTCAGAAAAACTTAGTATAGTTGGAAAAGCTCAAGTTTAATTGAACATTGGTACAGGTATGAACAATTGAGTACTAAATGGTATGACAGTTGCAGTATCTTTCCAGAGTTAAATATTCCTTCTCTGTAAGGTCAGCTTGAAGGTGAATCCTATTGTCTTCCAACATCAGAGGACATTTTATCAACAGAGATGCATTGTTGCAGGAGACATGCTGTCTAGGTATACTTCCTCATTTCACAGTGTGCTTCCTCTCAATGAAAAGGCACCTGCTGTCTGTAGAAAGTCCACATAACAGGTCCTGTCCAGAGAGTCATGCATTTCTCCTTCTAACAGCATCATTAGTAGCATTTTCTCTTTATTATTTAGATGTGTTTAGTTGTTCTAGGTGAATATTATTTTTACAACCATGTTAAACAATGATTATTTTGAAAAGCTTATCTATGAGAGATTACAAAATAACCTGTAAATCTTATACTATGCCCAGGAGAAAGATGTCACATGCTCATTCTGTAAATATTTGTAATTTCCCAGGGTGTAATGAGATTATGACTCAAGTAACCAGACAAAATGGCATCCTTACCCACTGTCACTTTTAAAAGCATAAGTCTTCTTGCAAAGGCTCAGAAATTCCATACCACACAGAATTGAGAAATACTGGTTCTTCCTTGCTTATATTTCTAGGAGGTGTCTCTTCAGAACATGTTTTGGGAAACTTTCCAATTTTGTGAATTACTATGTCTTCAGAAAAAAAGTGACTTTTTGTATTTTTCTCCACCTGTCCCAAATGGCTTGAGAAGATGAATCGAATCACTTTTCTTTCTGTCCAGTTTATCCTCCCCTCTCTGTAGCTTTGATAATAATCAGTTGCTTTTCTTCCCCTAAAATATAATTTGAATTTGAGAAGTCAGTTGGGAATGCCACTACTAGGAAGTCTGGTAAGGTTTAATGTAAATAATTCTTAGAGCTTATTCCCCAAAATACAACCAGATTTCATCTTTTAAAAGAAGTTGTCAGAGATTTTTGAATCAGGATCATAAATTGGCCAAAAGATGGGGTAGAGAGCAATGGGAATAGTTTTGTGTCTTTTTTCATTAAGCCAGTTAATATGGATATTTCTGTTTCATTCCCTCTCTGATTTGTTAACTCCGTTTGAGAGGAGGAAAAAAAAGTATCCATGCATAATTTGTATTGTAATTCCCTCAAGGATATCACTGTGTTGTTATATGAAAGATACACCACTGTATGACAATATCTGTACGTAAAGGCTCTGTAACTCAGATTCCCAAATATCATGCAAAGATTTTGATCAAAGTTCCTTCGATGTGGAATAGAGAATTCAGTATAATATTCAACAGTAGGTCTAATGAAACAGATTTTTTATTTAGATGTTGTGGATTGAAAGTAATAAGGTTCCCATTTTCACACAGAGTCCACCTTCACTTGATTGTTGTTTGTAATCAGCGGAGAAGGTTTACTTCTTATCCTGTCTGCTGCATCATTAGAACTGTCCTGGAAAAAAGCTTTTGCTGTACAAAAACTGACAACAATTTTCTTGTATTCTCTTCTGAAGTTCTGATTCAGGAGTCCATATATGATGGCATTAAGGCAGCTGTTGAAATATGCCATGTAATAGCTAGACACGAACAACCACTCTGGAATCCTAGGGATTATAGTTTCTGGGTCAACAGCCACAGCAAGGCCAATGAAATTCAGAGGAGCCCAGCATACTGCAAACAGTACAAATACCACAAACATGGTTACAAAGTTTCTGAAGTCATGTGGTTTCAGTCTGGGGTTGTTGTCTGGTTTAACCCTTCGTCTTACCTGAATAACAAGGATCCATATTCTCAAGTAACAGTAAGTAACGATGGCTATGGGAAGCATGAAGTGGAAAAACACCACTGCTATTGTATATGCTGAACTCACAGACTGTGCAAATGTGCACGAGTAAATCCTGGGGTCATACTGTAGAGATCCTACAAACAGGTTGGGCACAATAGCAACAACAGTTAGGACCCAGATAAGAACAACATAGCACAAAGAATTCTTGTCGCTGTACAGCTTGTCATATTTGAGACTGTGGCAGATATAGCAGTATCGATTGATAGCAATGCCTGTAATATTGAAAATTGATCCAATGACACTTAGGCCCATCAAGAAGCCACTAATCTGGCAGTGAAGGTATCCCAGATTCCATCCATTGTGAAATACAGATGTGAGGACCAGAGGATATGGATAGATTGCTACGACCAAGTCTGCAATTGCCAGGCTTACCACAAATATATTTCCTGTAAAATAAATATAAAAATACAAGTATTAGTTTCTCATTCTCTCTTCCATTACTTCTGCTCTTAATACATTAATGACCAGACTTAGTGGAACACTTTATATTTAATTAAGTTCTAGTTCCTAGGTTGAAATTAACTGAAAAAATTAAGCATTCTCTCAGGTCAGTTTTCTAATTAAAACAAAGAGACATTATTATAGGGTGTGTTAGCTCTTGGGAGAACTCTCAAAGACAAAGGAATCTGTCATAATTACATTAATTTTGAATTAATCCTTTTAGTGCAGATGATATATTCTCTCTCTCTCTCTTATTTTTTTTTTTTTTAAAGAGATGATTACTTTAGTAATAACTCATCTGGATGCCTTCTAGCAATTCTAGGTTCTAAGGAGAAGGTCACAAAATAAAAAAGATACAGCTTCTCTTCTTTTTTAAGAAATAACTGCTGCATACCACATATATGTGTTATGTTATTCATGTTCATATCAACAGAAATGTATAAATGTATACATGTTCATATGTATAGGTATACAAATGCGTTTGCGTGTAAGTGCGTGGTAAGATTGTTCACAGAAGATTAAATATAAGCTATTGTAACCTCTAAGAAAATATATTGCTAGCTCAGTAGTAATCAAAATCAGCTTTGTTAAATTGCTTTATGCATTTACCTTGAGAAAAAAAACATAAACAAATAAAAATATTTTAAGAAAAAAAGGTAAAAGTACTTATGGACTAATAGGACATTTAATTTTCAAAAAGTGTTTTAATTGAAAAAAGTTTAAATACATATTCTCTCACTATGCTTTACGTGGTTGTGTAGAAATATTAACTGTGCAAACAAATATAGCCAAAATACAGCAATTATTTAGGTCAGGATTCCACTTATTCCCCTTTTTTCAAACTTTTGATTTTAACATGAAATACTACATTTGGCATTTATACTCGTAGCAATGGGATAAATGACCTCAGAAGATTGCTACAATACTTTTCATAGATTTTGTATCTGGATTTAGAGATGTCTTTCTTTCTATGGTCTCCATAATTTCTTTTTTTTTGCCTGTGAATTCATTGCCAGGCTGAAATTTGTTTATCCTGTAGGCTTTAGCATGATTCCAGATCATTTCAGAAGAAATATCAGAGCTCTTTTAAGCAGAAGCTCTGTGTTTAATTTAGGGATTGAGAAATTGAAATGGGATTAAAAGTTGGTAGTAGTGGGTTACCAAACATCCTCCCTTGTCTCAAATGCTGTATATTTGATGAAATGGCTACAGATAAATTCTTCTAGTTGGGAAGAAGAGCTGGACCTTGTTTAAAAAATACTTCAAGAATCCTGTTTCATTTGCTTATAGATTTTTTTCACAGTTAAGACTGTTCATATCAGACTTTTCTCTATGCTATTCACTACAACTTCTGCTGGTGATCTGCATGAATACTGCCATTATTACCAGTATTGACACTCTTGATATAAAAGGTTCAGCTATTAACCAGCTATTAAAAAGAGAACTGTTGAAAGAAGTATGGATTTTCTTTTTGCCCTTTTTCAAGTAAAAGGTGTAATGCTCTTTCTCTCCTTCTCTCCTTCTCTCTTCCTTTCTCTCTTTCTCCCTTTTCTTTCTTTCTTTCTTTCTTTCTTTCTCTCCTTCTCTCCTTCTCTCTTCCTTTCTCTCTTTCTCCCTTTTCTTTCTTTCTTTCTTTCTTTCTTTCTTTCTTTCTTTCTTTCTTTCTTTCTTTCTTTCTTTCTTTCTTTCTTTCTTTCTTTCTTTCTTTCTTTCTTTCTTTCTTTCTTTCTTTCTTTCTTTCTTTCTTTCTTTCTTTCTTTCTTTCTTTCTTTCTTTCTTTCTTTCTCTCTTTCTCTCTCTCTCTCTTTCTCTCTTTCTCTCTTTCTCTCTTTCTCTCTTTCTCTCTTTCTCTCTCCTTTCTCTCTTTCTCTCTTTCTCTCTTTCTCTCTTCTTTCTCTCCTTCTCTCTTCTCTCTTCCTTTCTCTCTTTCTCCCTTTTCTTTCTTTCTTTCTTTCTTTCTTTCTTTCTTTCTTTCTTTCTTTCTTTCTTTCTTTCTTTCTTTCTTTTCTTTCTTTCTTTCTTTCTTCTTTCTTTCTTTCTTTCTTTCTTTCTTTCTTCTTTCTTTCTTTCTTTCTCTTCTTTCTTTTTTTCCTTCTTTCTTTCTTTTTTTCCTTCTTTCTTTCTCTTCTTTTTCCTTCTTTCTTTCTTTCCTTCTCTCTTTCTTTCTTTCTTTCTTTCTTTCTCTCTTTCTTTCTCTCTTTCTCTCTTTCTTTCTTTCTTTCTTTCTTTCTTTCTTTCTTTCTTTCTTTCTTTCTTTCTTTCTTTCTTTCTTTCTTTCTTTCTTTCTTTCTTTCTTTCTTTCTTTCTTTCTTTCTTTCTTTCTTTCTTTCTTTCTTTCTTTCTTTCTTTCTTTCTTTCTTTCTTTCAGATAAATTTCAGGCCTCAACAAATTTGGGAACTGTGGTAATCCCAGCTGTTCTTTCCAGTAGGCTGCCATAGACCCAAAAACCCTGAAAGGCTAGAAAGATAAGCTGTTTCATAAGGCGCTGGGAGGCAAGCAGGCCAAGTTGGGAAGCTATCTTTTTAAAAATTCATGAACTTGGAAACCAAAATCTTCATCTGTCTTTTCCTGGTTTGCATGTCAGGTATAGCCTTGGGCTAGAAGACTGCTGGGGAAACCAGATGCTTGCTTGTAAAGAGTACATTTAACTTGCCGTTCAGGAATGGTTGTCTTCAGACTTGAGTTCTGATGCATTTTCCTTGTGAGTATAGAAACTTCAAGTAAAAATTTTTTGGATTTAGTTTGTTTATTATGTGTTTTGAAGTTCATTGTTTCAGATTCTGATGTTGGATCTGAAATAGTGCTGATACTGCACATGTTGAATAGCTCTTGCTTAAAAAATAGGAGCCTTGATTTAGGCATCGACTACTGGAAAATACTCAATGAATTCCCATATATTTAATGGCATATTGTGAAAATAAAAATTCTTATCTGTGTGGAGCATTGGTATTGTAGTAGTGAGTATCAAAAAAAAAAAAAAAAAAAAAAAAAAGATCTGGGTATAAATCAGCTTTTATCCTCAGAGTTGGGTTTGAACAGAATGCTATAAATGAAGTCTGAAGTTCCATGTTGAGCTCTTTAAAAAGAATAGCTACAGCATCAAAATCTTCAGTAGTTCTTCAGTGAACAAAAACTAGTCTTCCTCCTAAGAGATTAAGATTAGACTGTTGGGGAAGAATGTGATTTATGCAAGTGAAGAACTCGTTACAGAGCATTACCACAAGTTGGCTGAACAAATGTTCAGTGTAGAGTGAATGTGGAGGGTAATTTCTTGACTTCACAGTTAAATGAGTTTAAGCAGCTGTTGTGTTATGGATGCATGAGAAGACAATACAGTGGTCACTTTGTGGACTTTATCAGCCTGTTCTTTTAGATGAAATCTAAAGAAATTTCTGTTAAATACTTTCACCATTGCTTCTAAAAAAAGGAAATTATTCTGCTCAGCAACCATTTAGCAACATCAGACCTACCTGCTAAATAAAAAAAACCCTGCAGTAAAGCAATTGAAAACAAACAAGTATTTTTCCAGGCAAATGAACTTTTACAAGAGCACAATATAAGCTGAATATAAAAACTGTGACCTTGGCTACTTATAAAAATATATGGGATATTAATTGCCCCAATGTCAAAATTAATAACTTGGCATCAAATAAGAACTATATGATGTTATACCAATGGTAAGTAGCATCTGCATAACATATAAATTGTTGTGTGTGTTGATATTCCCTAAGGTATTAAATGAATCCAGAAATTAATGGGAATTAGTATGTCTGCAGAAATTTCCAGAAACTTAAGTGCAGGATATTCATGGAAAAATATTACAATTACTTAGTCTAAATGGTGCTCTGTGTCTCTTGTAGACTTAAACTGAAGGAGGTGGGGGTCCACAGAACTAGTTCCTCAGGTGTAGTGAAACATTTTGATAATTTCAAAACTTCTAGCTTGGACCAGGAAAAAAAAAAAAAAAAAAAGTGATAAAAGGAAACACTTACCTAAGGAATGAATAGCAAAGTGCTAAAGCCATTAGAAATTCCAACCAAAACTTTTTGGGACCAAGTCAGTCAAAATGAATTTTATAGAAGATGTCCTTTTGCTGGCAACAGTGGCTAAGCTACTGTTTCTCCTTTTTTGTAAAGATATTTCTGTACCTTTTAATATTGGATGCTATCACTATTTCTGTTTATTTATTTCAAATTCTTTATCATTTAAATAATGTATTGGCTTCTTATTACAAATCCTTTCCAGACATCATGTTTTAATCATAGTTCTACATTTTGCAGTATAAGTGTTACATTTCCCATTTTTAATTAATTTTAATTAATGCTTCAGGTTGTACCAAATTTAGCTAAGAGGAACATAAAGTCTTTATGCTAACTAGAGATGCTTTTACTTTTAGGCAAAACTAAAATCTACGCAGCTTTATTCAAGTCAAGTACAAAGCTTTTGTTTCAGTGGCCACTGGCTCAGCTCTCTCTTTGATGTTTACTTGTTAAGTGTGTCTCTGTGTCTCTGATAGTAAAAACATTCGCAATGTTGAAACAGTTATGAGACCAAACCTACAAGTTCCATGCCATTCCTATTGATTGTCTATTTTTATTAGCTCTCAGGTTCTGCCAGATGTGCTGTCATTTCTGATTGTTTCATGACTAGGCTTAATTAACAGGATGCTTTGCTTTCTAGAAGTTGTGCTTTATCCAAATATCGTGTTGCAAGTGTTCCATTTTCATCATTTTTATATATTTAGTGTTACCTAAGTTTTAATTTATGTTTTAAAGAACCTAGTTCTGATCACTTTAATACTGACTTTCTTCAAGGATTGCTACAGATTTAGCTGCATTTTGAAATGTTTCTCATTAATTCAATGCTGGCTCAGAATATGAAGCTGACTTTATGTGCTGAACTTAAAACAAGACTAATATTAGGTGCATGCTGGTATTAAACATA